TGGTTGTTGGTGCATATATTTGAATGATAGTGGTATTCACTGGACTTCCTTGTATGCGTATAGATATTATCCTGTCACTGACAATATTGTACTTCAAGACAGATCTAGCAATGACTTTTCATAAGAAACATAAATGCAGACAATAAACATGGATTTCACCTGATGATATTATAGGACTCAGATCAATTACGTCTGTGGAACGAATCACTGGAGAAGCTCAATATCAGCTTTAAAAACTAGGCCAGGTGTTGATTGTGGAACAGCTCAGCAACTGCAAGTTCAAATTAAAGCTAAATTAAGTCCACAGGAACCAAAATTTGACCTTGAGTCTATCTCACCTGAATATAAGGATTAAGTTTGAGGCCTTGAACACTAATGAGAATGAGCTATAGGAGGACAAAAGGTCATTACAAAGGCAGAGGAGGAAGAAAAGACCAAGACAGATAAAACTAGCCTACCTGAAGGGTTTATTTTCCCATATACCTCATGTATGTGAAAGCTGGACAAGGAAAATGGTAATGCATTCAAATTATGATGTTGATAAAGAATATTAACTGTAGTGTGACTCCCAAAAGAACAAATAAATCAGAAAAAAACAGAATAAAAAATGTTCCTCCATCTTATGTCACTGGAAAAGATCAAGGCTTCTGGAGTAACAGAAAAATTGAAAGTCTTCAGTGAGATGGATTGACAAAATAGTAACAGCAACATGCTCAGGCATACTAGTAATCATGAAGGTGATATAGGACTGCGCACCATTTCCTTCTGTTACATAATAAGGTCGCTATGAGTTGGATTTGATTTAGTAACAACAAGATTCTTTTCACTCTAGTACTGGTTACATAGTATGTTCAGTTTGTGAAAATTCATTGAGCTATAGATTTATAGGTGTACTTTATTTATACTTAAGTAATTTTTTTCACCTTGCCGAATATAAAAATATTTTTATTTCCATTACTTGTTCAAATCAGGATTCAAATTCAGTTTACATTGTGTGACTGACTGATAAATGTGTTTTTGTGGTAAGTTTGTAGGTGACAAAGCCATTGCCGTTTCAGCATTCTTCCCATGTGCAGTTCAGCAGCATTAATGATGATTAACCAGGGAGCATGCTAATTATGGTTAACCAAGAAGCCTGGCTGGTTCATGGGGCTTAGGGCCTGACTGGGAGTGTCAATGATCTGATCAAGTTTCTAGATTACAAGATAGAAAAATGGGGTGGAGATGGGCAGTGCAGTGGGTGCTTCTCCTAATATTTTGAGGTCAGGCCCTGGCAGTGGGGCTGCCAGTAGAAATGGAGGTATTTATTTAGGTGTCCAAGTTGTACGTCAGGCATAAGGCCAGCTCCTTGTCGTAGTCATACAAAGGCTGCTCAACACAGCTCCCGTCAAGCGAGCAGTGGATCTCCTCTTGGGAGATGTTGTATTTGTAGTGTTCTGTATTGAAATGGCATTTTTTTAATTCTTCAGTCCAGTGTAACAGCAGTCATGTATCTTACAGCACCAGTCTGTGGCATCTTTGGGTTGGCCTTTGCCACTGGGTCCACAGTGACAGCCATAGAACATAGAAAAGTATAGGTGTCTTCCCTGACATTTATTTTATCATCTTGTTCAGGTTGAGAATCCCACTCTGCCTTGGAATCACACCAGCCTCCACGACGAGCACACAGAGCAGGGAAAGTTTCATTGTCCCAGCAGACAGGAGTGGAAGAGTGCTGTGAGCCCCCCTTCCTGCAGGCTGCCCCTTAGTAATTCTTTTTTAAGTTACCAAAAAAACCTTTATTGAGCTGCTTTGACAATTTTTTATTGTGTGCAGTCGAATCAGAACCGACCCACAGAGAAACTGACCAGCAGGTCTTCCTCGACTATGCAAAGGCATTTGACTATGTGGATCCCAGTAATATGCCTGACATTGAGAAGAATAAGAATCCCAAAACACTTGACTGTCTTTATGCAAAACCTATACCTAGACCAAGAAACTATTGTCTAAACAGCAGAAGCAGTAAATCAGACAGGAGGATACTGCCCATCTTTCCCCCAGGGAGCAGCTGGTAATTTCAAACCACCAGCCTTTGGTTTTGCAGCACTGGTTCTTGCCATTAGACAGCTAGCGCTCTCTCTCCCAGAGCTTTGAGAATAGAAGAATATATATAAAGCATTTACATAAAGTTACTTACATAGAGTTAGGTGCTTGGTAAACAGGAGCTGCTTATCATCCATATCATGTAGGATAACATCTCAGCTAGAGTGATCTGTCATCACCCTTTGCGGTTGTCATAGTTGCAAAAATAAACAATTCATTTAAATACCAGGAAAATAGTAAGGAAAATCCTAACCTTTAACTTAGCATATAGAGTAGAAACATTGATACTGCAAAAGGCAATAATGTTTCAGTAGAAACATTGATACTACAAAAGGCAATAATGTTTCAGTATACCTGTAATATCTTTTGATGTTGATACTTGCTAGATCCCTCTAGTTTTCATAGTTTCTGTTTTAAATAAACTCTTAAACCAGGTAGAATGTGAACTCCTTGAAGGCAATGGTAATACTCTTTTTGTGGTGTTTAATAAACTATGATGGGTTAAACATGAAAATCCACTACTCAAAACAAAACAAAAAATTAACATCAATAGCTGACACTTATGTTTTTATGCTTTGACTCTCATACTAGTTTCATTTTTTCCCCACATATTTTTGTCATGCACCTATTTCTACAAATTGACCAGCTATATATTAATTGTTCCTTAATCTGTAGTTAAGTCACAGTTTGCTTCGTTTTTCTCTAGATGCTCAGCATTATATTATAGCACTATGAATTGCACTACTGTATAACCATCTGAACAAATCCCTTTTCCTCTTCTGAATTATTTCTTTGGGCTATATCCCCAAAATTCCTACCCATTGAAGTCATCTACTGATGGTTTCAGTCCAACAACCGCTAGATTGTGGGCCTTGCACTCTTCTGCACCACTTTGCTTCACACAGAAGAGATGGGTTGGGAAAATCTGTTGCCAAGGTAGTCTTCAAAGTGCTAAAGAGCAAGGACATCACTTTCAACACTAAGGTGCACCTAATCCAGACGATAGTCTTTGCATTTGCTTGAGTCGTGATGTTAGAAGAGTCCTGCATATCTTACGGACTGCCAAAAAACCAAGTCTGTCTGACAAAAAAGTGCAGTCAGGATGCTCTTTAAAGTAAAAAAGGGTGCAACTTTGTCTCACATACTTTCACAATGTTGTCAGGAGGGCACAGTCCTTGAAAGAAGACATTATAATGGAAAAGGTGGACGGTCAGAGTAAAAGAGGAAGACCCAAGATAGTTTGACAAAGGGACTGTAACAGTGGACTCAGGCATATGGTGAGCATGATACAGGATAGGGCAGGATTCAGATCTGTTTAAAGGGTCACTATGAGTTATAGGCAATTTGATGGTACCTAATAGCATATCAGCAAATGAATCAAAGGGCAAAGACAGAGCAGTAAATGTACTTTCTTAGATCAGTATCTAATTTTTTAATAATGATCATAAATGATGGTACTTTAAGGATTGTAACATTTTATGGATTTAATGGATGGTGTGGTGATTATGTTATGATTTATTTTATTCTAACCACCTCCAGGGTATATGAATGTAACAAGCGCTGCAAATGTGATCCTAACATGTGCACAAACCGACTGGTACAGCACGGACTACAGGTTCGGCTCCAGTTGTTCAAAACCCAGAACAAGGGGTGGGGTATCCGCTGTTTGGATGACATTGCCAAAGGCTCCTTTGTCTGTATTTATGCAGGTTGGTAATCCTTTTCTGGAGTTGGGACTCATTTGAAAGAATTGTGCCTTAGACAAGTTGAACATGTTAAAAAAGTGCTTGACATATGAACTGAGAGTAAGAGGATGCCATGATTTTCTTCTGTAAAGAATATGAAGACTGATAAGTCTCCTTGCATTGACCATGGAGGGATAAAAACCTTCCATAAAGACGAGAATGAAAATTTTCTCCCCATATTACTCCAACCATGACCCCGCACCCACTACCTCCTCTGGATGATCTTTTAGCATAGCTTAGAGGTTTGTTTAGGTAAACAAAGCAGAGAAGAAATGGGATGGGATATGGTAAGATGAAAAACTACATTAAGTTCCTCAAATACTCTCAGTTAAGATGTTAAGGAAAGGGAGGTTATGGAGGAATTTTGACTCTGCATGTTATTTGGTTATTAACTGAATGACACTTAATCTTTGTAAAGGTCCCCATAACTCTGAAAGCTTTTCATTTTCTTCATTCCCAGGCAAAATACTGACAGACGATTTTGCAGACAAGGAGGGTCTGGAAATGGGTGATGAGTACTTTGCAAATCTGGACCATATTGAGAGTGTGGAAAATTTCAAGGAAGGCTATGAGAGTGACGCTCCCTGTTCTTCCGACAGCAGTGGTGTAGACTTGAAGGACCAGGAAGATGGCAACAGTGGTTCTGATGACCCTGAGGAGTCCAATGACGATAGTTCTGATGATAACTTCTGTAAGGATGAAGATTTTAGCACCAGCTCAGTGTGGCGTAGCTATGCTACACGGCGGCAGACTCGGGGCCAGAAAGAGAATGGATTGTCTGAAACAGCTTCCAAGGACTCTCGCCCCCCAGATCTTGGACCCCCACATATTCCTGTTCCTCCATCATTCACTGTAGGTGGCTGTAATCCACCTTCCTCAGAAGAGACACCCAAGAATAAAGTGGCCTCATGGTTGAGCTGCAACAGTGTCAGTGAAGGTGGTTTTGCAGACTCTGATAGCCGATCATCTTTCAAGATCAGTGACGGTGGGGATGGCCGGTCTTGGGGAACCCGAGGGGAGGTTGAGAAGGTATCCACCTCAGGACTGATCATGAAGGATGAAGGAGACATCAAACAGGCCAAGAAAGAGGTAAGCTGTGACAGAAAATAAAGCGTTTAACTGGTTTAAGAATAGAATTAACCATTTCCTGTCCAGATCATGTTCTTGAATATTCTGTTGATCCTTTATGTGTTCAGTTAATAGAAGGCATGCTGAAATCAAAAGGGGCTATTTATGTTTTACATATAATAAAGAATTTGAAAGAATTATGTGGAATACAGGTGTCCTAAGGACTGCAGAAGGTCAAGGACTGCAGCCATCAATATGGATTGAAGCTCAACATCAAGAAAACAAAGATTTTCATCACTGGGCCAACTGGCAGCATCAGTATGGATGGTGAAGAGATTGAGATAGTTAACAGTTTTAGTTTACTTGGTTCCACAGTTAACACTCTTGGTAACAGCAGCCAGGAAATCAGGAGACGAATTACATTGGGAAAATCAGCTGTGAGGGACCTCTCAAGAGTACTGAAGAGCAATGACATCAGGCTGGAGACTAAGGTGCACCTGATCCAGGCTATAGTCTTTGCAGTTAAATTACATGCTATGCATCAGAGAGTTGGACAATGAATAGGGATGATAGAAAGAGAATTGATGCCTTTGAGCTGTGGTGCTGGAGAAAAGTGTTGAATATACCATGGACTGCTAGGAGAACAAACAGGTTTGTCCTGGAGAGGGTGAAACCAGGCTGCTCCTTGGAGTCAAGGATTCTGATGCTTCGTCTGACGTAGTTTTGGCATGTTGCAAGGAGGTCCTTGGAGAAGGACATTATGTTTGGGAGAAAAGAGGGACGGCACAGGAAAGGAAGACCCTCAATGAGATGGATTGATTCTGTTAGTGGAGTGGTGGGAATGAGTGTGTTTGAGACGGCAAGGTTGGCACAGTATAGAACAGTGTTTAGGACTTTTTTTTTTGCCAATTTTAAATACATCTTTATTTGAGACATTGCATTTTGCACTTACAATACAGTGATAATAAAGTGCAATGTTAATTCCTTTCCCTCTACACATTCCATATTCAAGTATTGAGAATGCACAGAAATTTAGTCTAGCAGTGTAGACTTTTCAACTGCAGTGTGCTACAAATTTGGGTCCTTCAAAATTTTTTAACTGTGGAACAATGAATGCTATAAAGTATGCAGATTGGTTTAGTCAACCTCTTCAATGGTGGGTCCAGAAGAGGCACCACCAGATGGAGGAGCTCCACCACCAGGGAGGCCACCAGGCATGCCTCTGGGCATGCCTCCAGCACTCTGGTACAGCTTGGTGATGATGGGGTTGCAGACCTTCTCTAGTTCCTTCTGCTGATGCTCAAATTCCTCCTTTTCTGCAGTCTGATTCTTATCAAGCCAGTTGATAATTTCATTGCACTTGTCAAGGATCTTCTGCTTGTCCTCGTCATTGATCTTGCCTTGAAGCTTTTCATCTTCAACTGTTGCTTTCATATTAAATGCATAAGACTCAAGGGAATTCTTAGAAGACACCTTATCTCTTTGCTTCTCATCTTCAGCTTTGTACTTCTCAGCCTCCTGGACCATTCGTTCAATGTCTTCCTTACTCAAGCGGCCCTTATCATTGGTGATGGTAATCTTGTTTTCTTTCCCAGTGCTCTTGTCAACAGCAGAAACATTAAGGATACCATTGGCATCAATATCAAATGTGACTTCAATCTGAGGAACACCACGAGGTGCAGGTGGTATCCCAGTGAGCTCAAACTTGCCAAGCAGGTTGTTATCTTTGGTCATGGCACACTCACCTTCATAAACCTGAATGAGTACACCAGGCTGGTTGTCAGAGTAGGTTTTGAAGGTTTGCGTCTGCTTGGTAGGAATGGTTGTATTCCTCTTGATGAGGACAGTCATGTACATAGGGTCACTATGAGTCGCAGGCGACTCGATGACATATAACAACAAGTAGACTAACAACTGAAGAAGATGAAAACACGTCCACAAAACCAAAATACCACTTTGAGTATGTCCCTCTTGAATTTGAAAATTATCTCCAGAATACGTTTGAAGCATTAAACATTAATAAAGCATTAATGATCAAAGACATCTGAGTTACGGGACGATATCAAAGATACCAACCATGAAAACAGCAAAAGATCAGGTCTGAAAATTGTACTAGAGCATCAAGAAGCCAAGACAAAGGGGAGAAATGCCAAACTCAAAGAAATTAACAGATGTCAAAGGGCTGCTCAAGAAAACAAAGCAAAGTACTATTTTGGAATGAGCTTAGAGCTAGAGATGGAAAATAAAAAGGGAAGACCTCCCTCAGCATTTCTAAAGTTGAAAGAACTAAAAAAAAAAAAAACCAAAAACTTCAAACCTCAATTTGCAAAACTGAGAGATGCTATGGGGGAAATACTGAATGATCCAGCAAATGTCAAAAGAAATAGAAGGACTACATAGTCCTGTACCTAAAAGAACTGCTTGACAACTGGAAATTTTCAGGAAATACTGTATGAACAAGAGCCAATGGCAGTGAAGGAAGAGCTTCAATACAGTGCAGCTCAACATGAAGAAGACAGAAATCCTCCCCACTGTACCAATAAGCAACATCATGATGGAGAAAAGACAAATTGTCAGCTCTTCCATCTTAATTGGATTTTCTATCAACATCCTTGGTACCAGACATATTGCACTGGGCAAGTCCACTGTCCAGGACCTCTCCAGATTACTGTGGAGCAATGACGTCAGTTTGAAGGCTAAAGGTGCACCTGGTTGCAGGTTATGGTCTTTTTCAGTCACTTGCTCTGCTTCTGAGAGCTGATCAATGAATAAGGATAAGAAGAATTGATGCGTTTGAGTTGTGTGGTGTTGGAGAATATTGAATGGACTGCCAAAAATCACAGATATGTCTTGGAAAAAGCACAGCCTGAGTGCTCCTTACACGCAAGGGTGACAAAAGTTTTCTCACGTAGTTTGGACATGTTACTCAGAGGCTATTCCTTGGAAAAGGTGATCATGCTTAGAAAAATGGAGGCTTAGCAAAAGAAGAAAATCCTCAACAAGATGGACTGACAGTGACTACATCAATGGGCTCAAGTGTGTCAGGAGATGAGGTTGGCACAAGCTAGAACAAGGTTCAGACCTGTTATTCATAGGGTTGCTACGAATCCACAGCACCTAACAATAAGTGGACTTTGATATTTGGTGAGATGAACCTCATTTCTTCAGATCTTTGCAATTGTTCCCTACCAGCAGTAGCACATGCTACAGCAGAGAGAGCAACTTCCAAGGAACCCAAGAAGCTAGGAGTAGCAGTGGTCAGATTATATCTCATAGATCACAAAAGGATTAATGCTGTTTCTCCTAAGTCTTTACATGTGAATTACTTATTTGGTGGATGTTTTGTGGCAAACCTGATTATCTTACCTTTTTTCTTTGGTTTGTTATGTGCCATCGAGTTGCTTGAGACTCATAGCAACCCTATCTATGTACAACAGCCTTAAACCCTGCTGTATCCTGTGCCAATCTTAATCTCTGACACACCTACCCCCATTACTCTTCTTTTTAAAACAACTGGCTGCCTAACAGGGTGAAGAAAGGGTCTGATTTATTCCATAGTGGAAGATTTATAAGTGAATTGTTTTTTTCTTCATTAAATGCTATGTTATCTGCATCGTTTCCTTAAATACATAATTGATGATGTTGACATTTCCTAGATTGCAGGTAGTGCTCGTGATGTTGTGTAAGATTCTACCCATGTTTTCCATGAGAATTATGCCCTATCAGCAGGAAAGGTTAAAGGCACTTTCAGGGGTTTAGAAATGAGAAAATAGTTATGGCTGTCAAATTCCAGGTTAATTAGTCTAGTCTATACACATCACATTTTAAATGTTGTGCTCCCTCGCTGTCTTGGAGCTCATTTACTATAGAGTAATCATTAGATTTGGCACCTTAGATCCTAAGAGCATTGAACCTGTCACTTGCTTTTTTTATCAGGACCCTGACGACCGGAACAAAATGTCAGGGTAAGTGCTTCTCTTTTTGACCTGTTTTCCAGTGTTTTTTCTCAAGCCAATAATTTGAAAAATATCCAGTCATCTGAGTCTCTCATTCTGTTCTCTACGATCAGAGTAACTGAAAGCTCCCGAAATTATGGTTACAATCCTTCTCTTGTGAAGCCTGAAGGACTTCGCCGCCCACCTAGTAAGACTAATATGCATCAGAGCCGACGGCTCGGGGCCTCTGCTCAGTCCAACCCTGATGTAAGTGTCCTCCTTAGACTGGACCCTCCCCAGCCTTCTCTTTCATTCAGCAGGAATCAAATAACATTTTCTTCACTTTCCAAGTCCTTCACTATTATTTCTGTTGGGTCTTTTTGCTTCTCTGGTTTGACTTCCTGATTCATTTTCTTTGATCTACTACCTAACTTCTTTGTTGCAATCTCAGCCTCTTCTTGCCTAACCATAGACAAAAGCAGGTCCTTGAAAGGGCTCTTTCTTTTCACTTTTATTTCTTCTTACCCTTCTGCTTCCCCCAGGATGTCCTGACATTGTCCAGCAGCACAGAAAGTGAGGGGGAAAGTGGAAACAGCCGAAAGCCCACTGCTGGTCAGGCATCAGCTACAGCAGTTGACAGTGATGACATCCAGACCATCTCCTCTGGCTCTGAAGGGGATGACTTTGAAGACAAGAAGAACATGTCTGGTAGAATTGGGAGGCGGGTAAAGGGGGCGGGCAGGAGGGAAGTTGAGAGCTTTTTGTCTAAGGGAGCTAAAAAAAATGGAGTGGGCAGAGAGTATCTGTAGTGAAAGAATCGAAGCATCTCTGAGAGGGCTCCCTACCTCCCAGCATGCCCCCTTTTCCTCTGCTGTCCAATTTCATATTTTCCTTTAGTACGTTTGTCCAGCAGATCAAGTCCTTCCTGGAAAAAACTGCCATCTCTGCCTTGGAATATTGGTTCATCCTCAGAAATGCAAAGAATGAAAATGGATAGAATGTCCAGTCATGAATTAGAATGAGTCTTAACCTCATTCTCTCTCATTTCCAGGCACAACAAAGCGCCAAGTAGCAGTAAAATCAACCCGAGGCTTTGCTCTTAAATCAACCCATGGGATTGCCATTAAATCAACCAACATGGCCTCTGTGGACAAAGGGGAGAGTGCACCTGTTCGTAAGAATACACGCCAGTTCTATGACGGTGAAGAGTCTTGCTACATCATTGATGCCAAGCTTGAAGGCAACCTGGGCCGCTACCTTAATGTGAGACCCTCTACCCCTGCCGCCAGACATGGGTTATCCATTACTCTGAAATATTTGGGTTTTTAATCACAATTCTATAAACACACCTTTTCATGTTACAAAAATCTCAAAAAGATATTTTAAAGAGATGGCTTTCTTTTCAGATTTCTGCAGTTGGGAGGGCTAGATTGTCTCATTTGTTTTCCAGCCAGCTCCACAAAGCCAAATTCTGTTTTCCTTTAACTCTGTTCTGTACTTAAATCTACAGCACAGCTGCAGCCCCAACCTGTTTGTCCAGAATGTCTTCGTGGACACCCATGATCTCCGCTTCCCTTGGGTAGCCTTCTTTGCCAGCAAGTAAGAGGAAGTCAGGGAAGGGGAAAAAACCCTAGGTTTAATGAGGGGCAGAGACCATGAGAATTCACCCATGATCCCAACTCTTCTTGTACTCTGTGCAGCCCCAGAAGCATAGACTGTTTACTGTCTCTACTACACATCATTCTTTTTTTTCCTCTTCAGGAGAATCCGGGCTGGAACGGAGCTTACTTGGGACTACAACTACGAGGTGGGCAGTGTGGAAGGCAAGGAATTGCTCTGCTGCTGTGGAGCTATTGAGTGCAGAGGGCGTCTTCTTTAAAGGACAACTTCCAGAATCTTCAGAAACCCCCTGAGCTGTCCTTTCCTCAGGAATTGGGTCTCCCTAACTATTGGACTCTGACCCCAAGTCTGCATTTATTGCAGTTTCCAATAGATACCTGGGGGTTCTGGAGCAGGAGATCCCTTCTGATGTGGTGCTAGCAGGCAGGGGCTCACACCTCTGAAGGTACTAGGAGGTGAAGAGATTCCCACTCTAACCTGAGCCTGACATCCTCCCAATCTGTGTGTTCATGCTTCTGACAGACTTATTCCTAGTGGGGGTTGTGTATCTACCCCTCCAGTTTGTATTGTTTCTTCAGTCTTTTAACAAGATGGTTAAAACTAAGATTGTGACTTGATTTCTCTTCTCTACTCTCAAAGGGCAGCCGTCATTCCTGTACCTTCTCTTTTTGCTTATCAGCCATGTGAAATTTTAAAAAGATGTTTTAAAACTATGAGGAAGCCATAAGGAAGACCATCTTAGTTTATTTAGTTTATCCTCATCAATCTCTAATAAGTTCAGACACTTGCTGCCATATTTTACTTAATCTTTAATATATTTTAATTAAAAAAATCATTAACAGTACATTTGGTCTGAAATGGTCCCTCTGCTAAAATGCCAGGTGCTTGTAATTCTGACTTTAAAACCAAAACCCCGCATGTTTAATAAATAAAAACTAAAAGTAATTGCCATTCTACTCCAAACCAGCTTGCCTATCTGAAGAG